CAGGACCCGCCGGGGAGGCCGGTGGGAGGAAAAGCGGGGAGCGGGGGACCAGTTCGCCGCTTCTCACTGTCTGAAATTTTTCAACCTTATCTGACTAGAAAATACGGATCTCCTGGGGAAAAAAAGATTAACGAGAGCCTTATTAAAGAGCAATTCGTCAGCTTGCTGTGCTGGTAAGATAGCGCTGGCAGCCAGTCAGCGCGCAGGCACATGAAATGCAGAAGGGAAACAAATGCACAATCAGATCGCAACGTTATAGCAAGAGATTCATTTGCAGATAACAAGCTGTCTTCTTTCTCTAGATATCTCAGTAGCGCCTTCGCTTTCAGAGGCTAACAGTCAAATCTTCATATTCTGATGGGGGAATCATTCCGTTTTGCCCATCCCCTTATGCATAGAAATTATTTCCCCTTTTCCTCCTCTGTCTCTTTTGGGGGGATGGGGAATATGTCGTGGAGAAATGAACCTTTTTTCGATGCAAAGGAGCATTTAAAGCTCTTTCCCCGCTTGCTCGAGTCGAAGTTAATTCATTAAGCGTTTTGTTACCTGGAAGTTTGAACGGGAAAAGAATCAGGGTGCAAATATTTAGCCCTGTGTCTGTGAGAGATTTCACTGGTAGCCGCTGGCGACATTAACGAGTAGTCGCTTAGTTCTATAAATAGCTCCTGATCTGGGTTTAATGGACCATTTCCCTACCAGTCCCCTCAGTGGCTGGAGCGATGGGCATTTTCACCATCATTTTAATTTAGCCCGGCAAGCAGAACTGATAAAGTAACGCGCATTTAGGCTTGCTCCGTGTTGCTAGACTACGGGGGTTAGAGAAGGACAGCACAGCTTCTCTCAATGAGATCAAATACATTTGAAAATGAAATATCCCACCATTTTGGATTTGAGACGGGCATAAGAGAGAATAGTGAAGGCTTTGTGAAGGGAGTTAAATACAAGCTGTATTTCTGGCTGTGGTTTGTTGCTCAGTTTTCCTTTGCTGGCTCTTTTCTGTTTTACATGAAGAATACACTGAATAGTCAGTGATGCCGTTTTGGAATATTCAGATTTGATGATGAGCACTGTTTTTGCTTCTATGAGCCCTCCTGTTTGAATCGAACACCTTCACAAAGACATACAGGGAAGGTTGCCTATGGTAAACAAAGTGAGGTATTAAGGTTGCTAAGAATCCTAATTAAACATGCTAAACGAGTTGACATTTGACTGTTGCAGGTGATACCTCCTTGTCCTTACCTTTCACAAGATATCATTCCAGACCCTAAATATTGTATAGTCACAAAGGCGCCTTGGAATTGTTCCTATTGTGTGTATCACACTGAAATCGATTAATTTTGAATGCAAACTTTAAATAAGGGTTGATCTCAGAGAAAAAGCAGGTCTTGAACAATGAGTTGGTTCTTCCATCTGAGTTGTATATTATAGGTTTGACATTTTCAATAATTACGTATCCAAATGTATGTAATTTCTTCTTAAATAACGGAGCGATTTAAGGATTAGCTTTTTTCCCTTTTCTGTTTGAAAGCCACTGCCTGAAAAGAGCACTGCTGCTACCATCACTCCCACCCCTCCCGACCCCTTCCCTGCCCCCACTCTTCGTCTCTGCACATATCCACCTAAAAAAACCAATCAAAAAAAAAAACCGAAAACAAAAACTCCAAAAAAAACCCCAACAAAACCTAACTCCTATTTGGACCGGTTTAATGAACTGTCACGGCGGCCAAAATATGGGCAGATTTCCCCCTGTATCTGGATTTGTATGCTACACTCCCACCATGGCAATTGTTATTGCTGAGACTGATCCTGTTAACATTTGGCACCAGTGGAATGTTCCACGTCGTAAAACTGCTCCGGTGCGTCTCCTGTTTGGCCTCGGCCAGCTGATGAATCCAAACCCAGTGAGCGACGCGGGAGAGCGGGGCTTCCAAAGCAGCCGTGCATGTTAGAAACTGGGCTCGTCTCCGGAGTCCGTGGGATTTTTGCTGCCAAGCATACTTTAGGT